GTCAGAGGAGCGCGAACTTCGGCTCGAGGGGCGCTTGTATGAACCGTTGAGGCGCTAACCTAGCTAAGTGTGCCGTTTTAGCAGCAGGGATGCCATAACACACTATAGCGTGCTATGGTATCTAGGCCCTCTAGCCTCCCCCCCCCCCTCCCCGAGGAGCGATGATTATGACTCAAGGAGCGCCCTTAAGAATTGGTAGGCCACATACATTTCATTACTCAGTGCAGAGGGGCGCCAAAACGGGCACGAGGGGCGCCTTCAGGAGCCAATGGGGCAGTCTACGGACTGGGGGCGCTGTTCTAGCAACAATGATGATAAGGTATTGGCCAGAGGGGCGCTTCATCCACCTGAAGGGTCACATTGATAAACGGATGGGGCGCCGTTCTGCATGCGGGGGCATTAGTTATTAGCAAAACAGATGACATAAGACGTGCGTGTTGTCAGAGGGGCACCACTTTGGCTCGAGGGGCGCTTTTTAACCAATGGGGCACGCTATTTAGCTAAGTTTTTACTTGCCGCAAGCGGTGCACCATCCCTGAGGAACGTTACACAAACGACTGACGACTCTCTCGACATGGGCATCAGAGGTGCCCCTGTAGACCTCACAGGCGTCTCTAATTCCCATTGAGGCGCCCCTTTGGGCTTCAACTGGAGCTCCTCTTTCTATGGGCCTCGGAGGCGCCCCCATTTGGCATGCAGTCTCCCCTGTTTCGTATTGGGGCGCCATTATGGCCTTAATGGGCGCCCCTTTTTCATGTGGGCGCCCCCTATACTATAGACCTCAGAGGCACCCCGAAGGGCCTCAGAGACCAATAAGGTGCCCCTCTTTCGCATGCAGGCGCCCCTGTGGCCATCTCAGGCGCCCGTGTTTTGCATTGAGGCGCCCCTGAGGACTTCATGGGCGCCCCTCTTTCGCATGCAGGCGCCCCCACGGCCTCAGAGGTTCCCCTCTCACGCATCCCATTTCCATATTAGGCGATGGCGCCCCCTTGAAAGATGGCGCACGCGCTCCTATGACGCCGCTGGCCCGTGAGAGCGCCTTTCGGGCCTGGGGGCGCCCACCAAGGTTGGGGGGGCAAACGGAATGTTGGGGTGGCAAAATTTCAAGTTGGGGGGGGCACCTGCCTCCCCAAAAGTATACAAAGTTACGCCCCTGCACTCAAGCGATTTGTATAAAAGCGCATTCACGTGTAATGGGATAAATAAAAGACTATTTAAGAAAATACATGACAAGCGATCAAACGTTGTGTCGTTGGCTAGACGTAGAGTTGGGGCTAAGGTCAAAGAGGCATTCTTGAGGTCGACCGATCCACTTGGGACTTAAGAGTTTCAACTTTTCGAATCGGGAGGTCACCAGCGGAGTGTATGAATCATTGGGTGATGCACTTTACCGGAAGACGCTGACCATGCGCTGTGGGCACCTTATAGACAGCAACTTCTGCTAATATCGGTAGCCGTGGTGCCATGTGTTGCCCCTCGATCATCTGGTAGCTGAATAGGAATGCAAAAGTCCTAACATTATTGAGGGCAGAATATGCCATCTTTAGAATGAATGGCACGTAGCAGCTGGCGGCAGGGCAGCCGTTTTGGAATTGAAGCGTTGCGATGTTGGAACCAATATATGTATGGCCTTGAGACAAATGCCATTGGGCGCCAAAGGGTAGCTGGGAATGCTGTACGTTGGTTGAGCGTTGGTAAAGATTCGTTAGTTTTGATCGAAAGAAAGCTCTCCCAGAATAGACCGCTACCCTTAGTTGAATTTGTATGATCCAGGCATGCCATGCAGTACTAAACATACACGAATCATATCCATATGCGGAACGATATCATCCAATTCACGTCATCCATTAACAATCAGTTGCTGCTGAAATTCAAACAAAAAATGGCCCGCCACAATGAAAATGCCAGTAGGCATACTGGACAAGACAATCACATCACTTTAAGGACAAATGATCTCTCGCCGGTCCAGAATTGATGGCCATTAAAACATGTCACGGCATCATGCAAGTAGTCCATGGTATTTCACAAAAGGACGGCCAACATTCAATTCCAGTCGCAGCCCATGCCATTAGCGTGGCCCTCGATCTATTTCTCGGGCATGACAATAAAAAATGACAGACTTCGGACGTGAAGAGACAATATTATGGCGTCCATATGCAGAAACATTCGTACCATGACAACCGCTGGTAGTCAAGACAACCGCTGGTAGTAAAGCATCACGTCCTAACCATTTTACTTCTGTGCAGCCCCAACACGACCTTCTTTTATTGCAACAGCTGTTTAACTCCTGTCTTGTATCTGGAAGCATCCAAGTCCTCCGAAGCATCAATCGCATTTTTCCGGCAGCACGTGCGGAAGTCGGAGGACACCCGAGCCTTCTGTGTCGTGCAGTTAGGTCACGACCTGCACAGGGCACGGCACAGTCGACCCTTTTCGGGTAATGAGCGCACGGTCACCTGACTCTGCCAGCCGACTCACGTAGCATTGCATGCCGGCCACGGGGCCGAACGCAGCGCCAATGACCCGTAAAACCATGGAACCATCGCCCCGGCCGATGAGATGGCAACATACATGCAAGCATTTCGCTGAATTGGATTGGAAGCGATAAACTAAGAGAAAATGCAACATGCCTCCAGCCGGCTGGAAACGATGTAATCCACCCAACAGTATTTTCATTAATTTACTCTGATGTCATGAATGGATGGGTTTCTGGGATTAAAACCATATCAGAATAAGCTCGTTTCCACTGTAGTCACCAGCGTATTGAAAACCCGAAAATTATCCGTGTTTCATAGCTGCAAACTTCTGTTCCAAAGTTGTAGCTGCCTGTCCAAACGTCAAGGACCGTATTGTTATAATCTCATTGTCGACTGAACATGTGATCCCCGTCAGAAACAAGGTCAAAGGAGCCATACGGCTGTTCACCTCAAACTTCCCTTCAACAGAGAGGCTACAGGCTATTATCTCACCAGCTTTTCCTCGAATCTCGATACATCTTTTTCGCCAGAAGATCCCCACGCCACATCACACACGCCACAGCAGAATAACTTTCCGCTTTTCTGCCCGACGTGATTCGCTTTCACATGCATGTGACGCCTTACGACTGCTTTGGTGACCGCCAATCTTTATGCAGCCAGGGGGCCTCTCCTTCCCCGCAGCACCCTTAGGAAGCCGCCGGGAAGTATAGAGAGCTAATGCTTCCCAGCGCCTGCTGAATGCGAAGCAGGGTCGGCCCGACCACGCTCGGCCCGCCGACGGCCGCCAGCCAGATTACCGCGCCGGGAGAACACTTAGCAGCCTTTTAGCGCCGATTGGCACGGCGAATGGTGAGGTCACAAGCTATGACCGATCGGTGTTCGAGGGGAGTGGAGAGAGTGGGAGGGATGGAGGTCAACACACAAGGATAACAGTGTGGTGTTTATTTCGCGAGGGTTCTCCACATCCACAAAGCATACTCGTAAGCTGAAGCGAGAACCTCGAGGAGGGCCCAGAGGACGTTTGATTGTCCCCATATTCTGGATCAGACAAAGTTGAAGAGCCCTCACCGCATAGGACGCAGGTCTCATCTTGCCGGCACACGGGTCTCACAGGTGCTCGTTCATGACACCACTCTACAGCGGTTCATACCGCGGGCCGACAGGGTCACTGTATTATTAATTGGCCACGCCGGGCCGGCCGGGCCGCTCCTCGGCGGGTTGCCGATCCCCTCCGCAGGGTCAGGAGGGTCAGACGCCGCCGGCTGATCTAATCATCTCTAATGTGATGATGTCATGTGATTAGACCGGCCGCGACCGCAGAGAGGCGCAGTGTGCGCTGGAAACTCTGCCGCCCACGTGAAATGTCACAACTGTCCGCGCCTGTCTCTCCGTGATCTGGAGCTGAGAATGTCGTGAAAAGAGAACTCTGATGTTTGCAGGCGGGAACCTGCAAGGTGGTGTACCGAGCGAACTAAATATAAACGGGCCATGAGAGCCTATTGCCCTCCCACTACACCCACTTTATTAATTATTTAATGCGGGCCGCGATATTTCAGGGTGTGGCGGGCGATTCGGAGCCCGTTCTCACCATCGTCTGACATCAGGGCTCTTTGTTCTGGCTGCACATCTCCCGACGGTCGGCAGCGGCTAATGGCTGGCCGGCCGGCTCGTCAGCAGGACTGCAGCGGTCGGGCAGATTAGGGTCATTACTGACGCCGAAACCACTCGTTCCACCATCCGGCCGAGCTACCCTGACCAGGTGCAGACACATACCCACGGGGACGCCGGCGCGACTACCGACGCCGCTGTCATCACATGGACGCGGCCGGGGCACAGCCACTGTATTAGACTAAGCGGCGCTGGTAGGGTGAAGAGAGACCGAAATAAACCTCATTTCCTTTTCAAATATGAACTTGATAAAATAGGAGGTAATTAATAAATGCAAAAGCAGAATTATGTACAATGCGGTCAGCATTATCGCCTGCTCTATTCAAACAATAGTTACTTGCTGCAACAAAGCTCGACCACAGTGATATGTGAATGCCTGTCGTGAGCATGTTGGGTGTTTTCCACAACCTTGAGCCTTGTTCTGAATTCCCTCCCTCCCCTGTAACACCGTCAGCACGCGACACGCTGTCACTGGTCCTCGGGCACACGTCACCACATATATCGTCTTTCACAACGTCAATCTCGGCGATGGCAAGTCCGCCAACCGCGTTACCCCTTCCCTCCCCCCCCCCCTCCTCCCCCTTCATGGCACCGGGTCGCAGCGGGACCCGACCACCCAGACCCAGCCAATAACCAACGGTGTTACTGGGTTCCACGCCGGCAGGTAGGCGACGCCGGCGTCTCCCGGCGCGTGAGTGTTCCCCGTGAATCTCCCGGTGGTGAGTTACTCAGATGAGATCAAGATTGGTGAGCCAAACGACCCCCGGAGACGGCGGCCATTCTGGGCTATCAAATTACGTGCTGGATTCGACTGTGGCAGAGTTAGCGCTCGATTTGGGCGCGCTCGTAACTTACCGGACTGTGGTCGGCCGTGAGAAGTCAACGTTCTTCCGCGGAAACGACGCCGAAAGTTCTGAGGCTCGTCTCCTCCGGATAGGAATGTAGTCAAATGTCGTCCTCACGCACAAACACAATCAGTTGCGTATTTTGTTGCCACTCCGTTCAGACACACCGGCCGTTATGCGTGATCGGTCTCCCAGTCACGTGACCCCTCACACTGTGACCTCTCTGACCGGTCAGTCACTGACCCTGACACGGCCCGAGCTGCTGTGGATCTCGGTATTACGCTCCCTCAGTCGCGACACCACCACACCAACTGACAGCCGCGGCGGCAGCAGACGGCAGCGACCGCAGCGCCGCGGGGTGGACAGACTGGGAACTACCGCGAGCGGGAGCCAGCGCGGTGGCAAGCAATGAGTGCAACATTGCTCCCTGCAATCACACCCTCGTTATTACATTGGTAGACATGACTAAACCAAATAATTGATAAGACTTAACCGTTTTGGACTGTGTCTTATCTGCATTAATAGGACGTTATATGTCGTTTTAAACCATCACTCTTTCGCCACCGCACTATCCATATTAGAGTTGCAAAATTTCCCCCAAAGGCTGCTACCGGCACCGCCCCGCCCCACAAAAATTTTCTGGGATACCGGCATGCTACCACGACCCAAGCAAAAACACCACCAAATTACCGGCATACTAAAAAAACCCTGCAATGTTGATTCTAGCTTACCCATACAAGAGATGCCACACTTTGGCAATTTCAGTACCCATCCCAGTTCCCACCCAGCAGCCACCCAATGTCCAACCTAACTACGAACAGGATGATTTTGGCTCAGTTGGCCCCACAAATACCCACAATTTTGAAACTCAGTTCCAGTCTATAACTGTTAAAATATCACGTGTAATCAAAGAGGTATTGCCTACAAAAAAGCAGTAAGAAAAAAGCATAAAAAAGCAATGACAAAAAGAACTTAAATTACTGAATTGTTTCTGGAGACTGGACAGTTCAAGTTAGCAGTAATCACATCAACATTTCAGAGGTGTTCTACTATTCCACACTCTCCTAAAATGTTGCAGGAACCTACCAACCAAAATCAAATTTTGAAATCTAGATGGCCACAACATAAAAAGTACCTAGGTACAGATTCGGCCATGTGCCTGAGGAAGCGAGATCAACACCTTTTTTTCCTTTTCGCCATGGCTTGCTGGCTCATGAATAAGATACGAATCATTTGAAAAATGTGAAGAACTCACTTGTCCTGAGAACAGTCACCAAATAATATGCATAAAAACGATATAATACTCGCTTTCTCGAAGAATCTTCCTCTCCAAACACAAGGTTATCTCAACTATCAAATATTTCGAAACAGATGCGCCATAATAACAGAGACTTTTAACCAGCTGATTAAATTGCTGCAAAAAAAGTTTCTGAACTGTAGCAAACTGCCTCATAAATGATTTGTTGATGTAAATGATCCAAAACGATATTGAATTCTGATGTAATCAACATTGTGAGTTTAGTTCACTACAAGAAAATGCATTCCCTTTCAGGAATCAAACCAAAAAGGCATACGAATAAATATTACGTCATCATCTTACATCCTTCCATCAGGGGAGAGAAGATCTAAAAAGTCAATCCTTGGTTCCCCTGTTATTCTGCGCCACTTTGTTTATTTTATATGCATATTGTGTTTTCTTGTAAAGATGAGACAAAATGCCAGTTTATTTGATTTTCATTTCATTTTTGGGACCAAAGTCAGGCTCAGGGCTACCTAATACCTGCCTTTTCAGCTGGATTTTCAGTGTCAAATACTTTGTAGAGTATCTCAGACCACATCTCAGGACTCAAGGCCAGTTTCCAAACAATGTGTTTTGTGGTGTTTTGATTCTGCCTTTTCCTCTAGGGAACGTTGTCATGAACATTTATTTATTTTGTTGTATTTTACCTATTACATACCATTAGACTTACTGATTGATCGAGCTTTTGCAGCATGAATAAGCATTCTTCCATTTATTGACCACAGTAGATTCTTGACAATCCTAATTATAACGAAACCTGCGAATCGCTGAGGTCCATGTGTTATCCCTACCCTTAGCAATGTAACTTCTACCACAAAATGTATTTTGCAGTGGCTAACATTGCTGTTATTATAATTTGATAGCCTCTTAGTGCCCAAAGTTTAAACCATATGCTGATATTTTCTATTTTTGTGCAAAATCAAAAATACCGGCATGCTACCGGCAAGACATGCCAGATACCACGAAAAAACCTGCGGTAGTGAAAATTTACCGGCATGCCGGTAGTGCGGTAGGCAAACTTTGCAACTCTAATCCATAGGTATGATTGCAAAAGGTTCCCGATAGAGTTTCCAATATCATCCGTGATCCATCCTTTCCATCCTGATCCTCAGGATCAGCCCAACCTACAGCCAATTTTTTTTGTCCTGACTTCAGAGCAGACGGTCACACCACCCAGACAACCGCGAAGGGAAGCTCCAATAGGGACATACCACTCCGGAGAGATCGTTCGAGTGGCTAGGTGACTTTCCCCACTTGGGGCACCCCTGTCTGAAAAAAACAAGCTCATCTGCTGCGGTACACCAGTCGGTGGTTCGTTCAGCCAAAATGTCTTCCCATAAACCTCTCATCCTTCATTATACTGATCTTATTGGACCGGAAACGCATGACCAAACAAGGCAGAAGTGCGCAAAAAAACGATTTTCTCAAAATTCAACTATAGTTTAGCTAAAAGCAGCACACCTGGGTGACAGCCACAAATAACTTATTCCTATTTCCGAGCACACTGAACCTAGCCCACTATGCCGCACATTGTTCTCTTGATTTGTATGCCACGTCATCCCTGAGGCTGCTCACCTTGCTCATATAACACGGAGCAGAATTAGCCACCTGCTACCCAGTTTGATAAATCTACGGGGATTTAACACAGAGCAGCCAGCTTAGCGAGCAGAATACCCCGACTTGGAACCATCATTTATAACTTTTGCGGGACAACGCCGTAATGTGATTATTGCCCTCCCTTGCATATGACAATAAAAAAATGAACGCATTTTCCAGTAGCGTTGAACGCATGTTTATAGCCTGTCTTTTTAATATTCTAACAAAATTAGCTTCGGATAGATAAACGCAAATTATGGTGAATGATTTACCAAAATATATTTGAAAAACTACAATGAAATACAATGGAATTAGAAATAATTATGAAATATCGAATATGTTCACTGATTTTAAATCGTTTTTGAAGTTACCCTTGGTCTGTGCCTTGGTTCATCTGATTCGATTTCATGAATACCCTCATCGAAGTATTAGCAATTTCTTATAATTTCCCATTCATTTCAATAAAAAAAAAATAGGAAAACAGGCTGATCGCGTCTACCGTAACGTTAAATCCCATCGGCATTCTTTTGATGCTTTTCGTTTTGGCGATTATGTAAAACGTGCAATAAATGATTAAATTGTTTCAACCCGATAATTCCTGAGTGTGCAATTAAGCACAAAGTGCAACATATATGTAATGTCAGTCAGAACAAGAGACTAGTTAGGTAAAAATGAAACATGGAGGATACCGCATGACAAAAACATTAATTAAGTATACCCATTTAACTGGAAGCGCCAGCTCCAAGACACCTGAGCTTACACATTATACAAGTCTGCCTGGTGCCTACCTATACGAGCCTTCAGCTCATACAAATCCGCTTTGCAAAAACTCATCGGTCAGGCTGTTTGGTCACTGCGCTATCGAATCCATGAAAACATGGTCCTGACGTAGCACGCATGATCACTGATCAGGAAGTCGCCCCGTTTGATCTAGCCACCATGAGCAACAAACACCAACAAAGAGACAGTGCAGCACCACTTTTTGGGTGTCTGAGCCACGGGCAAAATTTATCGTCGGCCGCGTCGATCGGGCAATAAATTCGGCTGCGACTAACTATCCATCACTGCGGCAACGGGCAGCAGATGCGGCCCCCTCGCGAGGTGCATTCTTTAAAATCGGCCCGCCGACAGGCCTCAGACGATAAATCACTCGGCCGCCTCTCCTCCCACTCTTCCGTGCAGGCTGGTACCAGAGTCGGGATAGGAGGGAATGGGAGCGAAACGGAACGGGTTGGAGAGGAGAGGGATGGAAAGGTGGGAACGAGATGGAATGGAAGGAGAGAGGCGAGAGCAGGCTATAGAATAGGAAAGGCGGAGGGATGAGAATAATATGTCGAGCTATATCTAATAAATTTTTATTTGACTATCCGACGCCGGGGATAGTAGAGAACACGTTTTATTACAGACTCTCAGAACACTTGACGTGACACAGAAAAGCCACAAATGGCCGTCAACCGGCCACGGTGACTAGCTATTAGAAGGTAAGCAGCTTCCGAAGCAAGTTTTATCTGCAAAGCAGCGGGACGACTAGCGGATTTCTCATCAACTTCCAGGAACGCGTCAACTTTGTCTAAAACAGTAAACAGACTCGATGACTGCCCACCACTATTCAACACTCCCGGCACCGATTCCCTGGAACTGTGGCACCAGAAAACACCAGCACCTCCCTGCAGAAGTGCAGCGGCTGTTCCGCAGATACAAGACAAGCTCCGAGGTAGCATGTTCCGTTCCCGGAGCAGCGTGTTCCGTTCCCGGCGCGGCCCAGCGAGGACCAGGTACGGTATCGGATACCCGGCGGTGGCGGGTGGCGCAGCTGAGACCCAGTATTTATGGGCCTGTTTTGGCTGCGCTGCGCCCCAGGTGGTGGCATGTAATCGGAGTCATCTCGGAGGGTTCGCACCAGCGGCGCTGTCCTGACTCGCCCGCAGCTCGCTCCCGGCAGGCTTCTCTCGAAACTCTAAAGCGATGGCGCCTCCACGGCGAAGCGACGGAGACGGCGGAGGCAAAGGGTGCAGTGGTCGCGCTGTTGCTTCAAACGATCCAGCGCGGCGATGTGTCTCGGAAGTGGGCGGTGCGGAGTTCCAACTCACCCGAGCTTTCAGTTGCCGTGATTAATCGCCTCAGAGTAGATTGCTTTCCTTTACACACGTTTTTCGTAGCCGTTCTATCAAAGTCTGTTCACGTCATTAGCTGAAAGCGTGTTTCGATGGAGCGGCGACTTTTTGCTGTGACGCTGAATGGTGATATATTATACCACACCCGGAATAGACTTCTTCGCAGAAACGTCGCGCTCGATTCAGAAAAGTTGCAACAGAGCAACTCTGCTGGTGGCGTGTTTTCAATGAGAGGACTTAGCGCTGTGACAACTTCCACAAAGTGCAGTCCTGCGGCGCCGTTCTCGCGCGCGGCGGTCTGAAATC